GCTGAACGCGCCTTGCTTCTTGAGCCAATACAGGTGGTATTTACCCATTTTCTCCCTTCCCCATATGTCTTGTCCTTCTATTTTAGCATAGGGTGTTCACATCTGGAAGAGAGCCCAGATCCTCCGCAGGAACAAGGGAAAACCCCAGTTTTCTGGCATGAGTCTGGTCCCTGCTTGTTCTCGTAGCCGAGCCTGCTGTGGCTTAGTTACTGTCCAGGATAGCGCCGGGTGCCTCTCCCCACAGACAGAGCGCAGGGTCACATGGAGAAAGGTGGTACCTCGCCCTCAATGAGCAATGCTTTAGCTGTTTTCCTTGGTTCTGGCTTTCCTAGATAAAGAACCAAATAAACCAAGTATTCAGGCAGTGAGCAAAGCCCAGCGCATCCAGGCTGCCAGTCCTGGAGGTCACGGCAGGGCTGGATGCATCAGAGCCAGCAAGCTGCACGAAGGTGGGAGAGGAAGGGGAAATTGCCCCAGTACAAGATGTGCCGTTCGCCACCACTGCTATATAACTACCTTTTAATAAATCCCAGCTGGCAGCTGCATTTAACATTGACGTTTTTGGCAGCTGCCATTTGCTGTTCCTTTCAGACTGTAGACGCTGTCTGTCTTCTTAATGAGCTGATTTTTTTTTTTTTTTTTTTCCCCCTGAAGACAGATTTATGTTCTCAAATGCGTTTAATAGGAATAAGCTCAATGGGCCAGACCTGAGGTAGGGAAACGTGAGCTCGTTAGTGTGCCGGTGAGTCGGGAGAGCTTTGTGATGGCTCTGCGTCCCAGCTGGGGCCGTGACCGGCTCTACTGGGGGCGAGGAGCAGCCACGTGGGTCAGGCAGAGCTGGGTGCTCGTGGAGCGAACTCGGCTCAAGTTAACCTGCAGACTCAGGCGCTGGATTCCCTCCGCAGTGCAAAGTGAAGAGGTTTATTCCTGTGGTGGTTGGCTACCCTGGCCGCTCCAGAAATACTGGGGAGAGGCTGCCTTATTTATGGAGCCATGCATGCCATATCTCAGATGTTTCCTTCTGTGCATTCCCCTATCTGTAAAATTAACCCCAAGCTGGCTGTGCTGACGTCCAGACCGCATTAGCCCGAGTTCGTGTGCTGCTCAGGCTGGAGGGACTCTCTCCTGGAGTTGCCCTTTGAGCAGCGAGCGGAGAAACCTGCTCCGGCCCCACGTGCTATTGCACCAGAAGTGCTGGGTGCCTGTGGTCTCTGTGAGCGAGGCGCGTGTGCTGGCATTTGGTTTGCACGATGCGGTCACAAAGTGGAAAATTGCTGGTTCGGGCAAATTCCTCATCTCTTTGAGCTGGAATTTCTGGTCTCTGTCCTCTCCCACCGCAACCCCAGCATGCTGGGCATCCTCGGCGAGCTGCTGGCCTGGCTGCCATCCCCAGCCTGCTGCTTGTCAGGGCAGGGTGGTACTTTGCTGCTTTTATCTTCCATGAGAAGAAGCGCCTTGAGTGCTCTGGAGCACGAGCAGATGCCAAGAGCTCCCTGACTCCATATGCCACCACCTCGGTATGTGAGGGAGCACAACCTCTTCATCACCTGAGCCTCCAGCGCTAGCGTTGGGCGCTCTCTGTGCACCCTTCCTCCTTGCGAGGCTGCCTTTTATAGCCTGGGCTTTGCTCTTTTCTGCTGCCACGAGAGCAGCACAGCGCAGTGCCAGCAGGCAAAGCTGGCAGGCGGTGGGTGCCGTGCCGGAGACCCCTTGCCAGCACCCTGCTGCCACGGGGAGCAAGGCACATGGTGCTCGGGCTGGGGGCACTCAGGAGAGCGTGCTCCTCCTCTTCCTCCTCCTCTTCCTCCTCCTCCTCCTTCATCCTGTGGATCCCTCCACAGAGCAACCCAGGGAGGTGATGCCCTCCCAGCCCTCATGTCCCAGCCCCGCTGGGTGCCACGTCCCCCAAATTGGGGCAGCATGAGGCGTTTGCCACCCGGCTGCTGCAGAAGCCGGAGGTGTATGAGGGCTTCCCCAGGGACTCGTGGGCTGCGGGGAAGTGTCCCTTCCTAAAATTACAGGTGCGCGTCGCAGTGGGAGGCCAAGGGAGGCAGGAGTGATGCTGCTCCGCC